GTCTTGAACCCACAGGCTCAGGCAATCCACTCACCTCGGCCTCCCAAAGGCGCGGGATTATAGGCTGAGCCACCCAGCCCAGCTTGTCACCTTATTTAATGCTAGTGACAGTCTTGCGATATGAGATTCATCATCCCCATTTTAGGATGGAGGAACTGAGGCTTAGAAAAGTGGTTCCAGCCATGTTTGTCTGGGCTGGGTCCAGATGGCTCTCAGCCACCCCGCAGCTCCCTCGCGGGTTTTGTGAGACTCGGCTGTAGTTGAGGCGATTCCCCACTTGGTTCTCATTTAGGAGAGGTCACATGTGCCCCTTTGGCACTGGATGTTCTCATAAGGCCAAGCAGGCCACCTTTGTGAGTAACGCAGATGCCGGCGTGATGGAGCCCAGAGTCCGCTTGAGAGACCGGGGTGGCGTTGCAGGGAAGAGGCACGTGAGGGCGCCCCACCACACCAGCCATTGGGGAAGGCAGCTTGGGGATCCTGGTCCCTGCTGGGCCAGGAAGACCACCTGTGCCCCCAGATTGTCTCCATGGGGACCAGGCCCTTTGATCAGATCGATGCAGCTTCCAAAGGGTGCCCAGAGCCAAGTCTCTGAACATGCATTGCTCCCATTCTTGCTCTCAGCGTGTGCCCAGCTGAAGTGCCCACGGCAAAATGGAGAAGTTGGCAAAGATTCTGAAAATCCTTGTTCGGAAATCCTTCGGGTATTTGGGAAATTGGAAATATTAAAATTTGTGCTGGTGTTGAAGCTGTGTGGGCCGTGGAGCAACAACACAAAGGCCCCTGGGACCAGTTGCATGGCTTATGCCTGTAATCCCAGCACTTTGGGAGGCTGAGGTGGGAGGATTGCTGAGACCAGGAGTTCAAGACCAGCCTGGGCAACATAATGAGATCCCATCTCTACAAAAAAAAATTTTTTTTTTTTTTTTTTTAGAAAGCAGGATTTGAAGCTGGGCTCAGTGGCTCAGCCTGTAATCCCACGCTCTGGGAGGCCGAAGTGAGTGAATTGCCTGAGCCCACGGGTTCGAGACCCACCTGGGCAACTTGCCGAGACCTCATCTCTACAATAAATCAAAAATTAGCCGGGCGTGGCAATGCGCGCCTGTAGTTCCAGCTACTTGGAAGGCTGAGGCGGAAGGATCCCCGGAGCCCAGCGGGTTGAGGCTGCGGTGGCCAGGAGCGGCCACTGCACTCCAGTCTGGGCGACAGAGTGAGACCCCAACTCAAAAAAAGAAAGCAGGATTTATTGAGAGGACAGAAAAGCTCCCACAGTGGGAGGGGACCCAAAAGGGGTCCCCCAACTTTTTTTTTAATTAACTGGGTATGATGGTGTACACCCATAGCCCCAGCTGCTTGGGGGGCTGAGGCAGAAGGATCCCTTGAGCTCAGGAGTTCAAAGCTGCAGTGAGCTATGATTGCATGATTGCACTCCAGCCTGGGCAACAGAGTGATATCCTATCTCTAAAAAAAAATTGTTGTTTTTTTTTTTTGAGTCAGAGTCTCACTCTGTTGCTCAGGCTGGAGTGCCGTGGCACACTCACGGCCACTGCAGCCTCGACCTGCTGAGCTTGGACGATCCTTCCACCTCAGCCTTCCAAGTAACCGGAACTACAGGCACATGCCACCACGCCCAGCTAATTTTTTTATTTGTTGTAGAGACAAGTTCTCACCAAGTTGTCCAAGGTGGTCTTGAAACCATGGGCTCAGGCAGTCCTCTCACCTTGGCCTCCCAAAGTGCTGATATTACAGACGTGAGCCTGGGTAAAAAAATATTTTTTAAAAACCCTCTGAACCCAGAACCTGGAGGTCGGATCCGGCTCAGCTCCGGAACCAGCTGTGTGACCTTGGGCAAGCCCCACTCCCATCTGGACCTGACCCTGTGAAATGAAGGGACTGGATTCAATTCAGGCACTCACCAGCAGACGTTTACTGTCGCCCATGGGGTGCCAGGCTGGTCTGGGCTGGGGACCTGGCGCTAAGTGGCCTCCTGTCTCACAGAACTTAATGTTCTACAGGGGCAGCTGGGGAGAAATTGAGGCCCTTCTGGCCCCAACTTTCCCTGATCCCCCAGCCATGTCCCCGAGTGGTCTCAGTTCCTTCTGCAGGGACCTGCTGTCATCACCCCTGTCTCCGTGTGAGTTAAAGCCTGTGTCTGTATGGCAGTCCCTTTGGGAAATGGCACAGATGGGTGGGGAGGACAGGGAGGGAGTTCGTTCCTGCAGAGTTTATTCAGCTGAGGCCAGCAAGTCCCACCCCTCTGTAGGCAGGCCCAGGCCTGGACACGTCCACATGTGTCTTCTGTCTCCCAGGACTGCAGGGTCCTCCTGTCTGTGGAGCCCACGGAGCAAGGCTGCTACCCCCTGAACAACCGTCTCTTCTGCAAGCCGTGCCACGTGAAGCGGAGTGCCGCGGGATGCTGCTGAGGGACCCCACCCGGCATCGGGGCAGGGAACGGCCTGCTGGCCCCAGCCGGGGGCCCTTCCCTGACTTGGTTTCCCTTCCTGCGCTTGCACACTTTCCTTCTGAGCCTCTGTGGGGACCAGCTAGCAGCTCTGTGCAGCGTGTCCAAGACTCAGGGGCTGAGCCACCCAGGCCTCCCCCAGCTCAGCGGTGACGGTGGACAGCTGCACCCCAGCCTGGGTGACAGAGTGAGACTCTGGTTCATAAAAAAGGGGGGGAGCCGGGCTCGGTGGCTCAGCCTGTAATCCCGCGCCTTTGGGAGGCTGAGGTGAGTGGATTGCTTGAGCCCA